GTCTGTAGATACCAGTATTTTACTGGACATTTACCTTTTCAATCCTGTAATTATCTTTTAAAGTGGTGTACTATAAGTAAATACTGTAATGACGCCAACACACCGCAGATGTGGTACCGTCAACAGGGTTTATTAGAAATAATAGCGAGCTGCTATTCCTTAGGCTGCAGCTCGCCCCTCTAACAAATCGTTACACTCAACTGAATAGCTTCACTGCTAACACACACTGAACTCTCCGCTCTTCTGTCAGATCAGCATCGGTCCTGGTCCTCCTGCTCCCCTGATCCCTCGCCCACATGACAGGTCCATCACATGTGAGGGGGAGTCAGCAGTCAGACAGGGGAAGCCCATAACACTCTACACATAACAGTGATCACAATGCAACTCATAACCAATACACATAACCATATGGAGCCCAGCAGAAGTAAAATACAGAATCGTTAAAATACTACGGTGGCCGACAGGTGCAAACGCACAGCAAACACGAAAAAAACAAATACAACAAAGAAAAGACGCAAACAAAAAATACATGTAAAAAATATATAAAAATAAGTGTTCCAGACCACTAGAGCTTTGTGTCCGACTTCAGGGTCTGCATCCTTTCAAGCTTATGGGCTTGAGAAACGACCCGGTCTACGGAAGTGGGGTCCTGCGAAGGCAGAGCATTGCAGAGAGAAGCTGTAGCCTTCAGCTAGCTGCCTAGCCTCCACCTCGGGTTATGTTGCTTAGCAGCCGTGACACAACATGATTTAAACAATGTTTGTAGGCGAGAATGTAGATGTACAAATCTCACATTTCTGCTCGGTTCATCAGTGCGTCACCTAATTGCAATATCTGTCCGACGTTTTCTAAGACGTCTGCTCCCGCTGTATTAACACCCAGCTCCCCTCGCCTGCTGCCAGCTGGTCCAGGTTTAGTATACCACGGGAGAACACCTGACTCATTTGGGCTTTCCCAAATGACAGTTAAACACATATATTAATTCAGGTAACATCTAGTTGTAATATTTTGGTTCACTCAAGTATTTAATATATTCCTGAGCAAATCGGTTTGACTGATTAAAGTTAAGTCTAAAAACATATTAGTACAGTACAGTCTTAGTTTTATAACATTAACACCTGACCCAGTGTAAGCTTCTTAGAAGTGCTACAATTGATGCGGTTCTAAAATGTATAATCAGAACTTCACATAACACAGAAGAGGATGTGATAAGTAACCGTCAGAACAGAATTTTTATTTAAAGGCACCAAACCACATATATTTCCAGTATATTCAAACATTCAAAACAAATAACACAAACCATTCCTCAGAGAACTGGTAAAAAATAGGCCTTCAAAGTCAATATATAGTTTCACTAAACTGGGTTTAACTCATTAATTTCTACAATCTTATGAACATAAAAACACAGTTCTTAAAGAAATGCCCATGCTTTGGGTATCACTAAACAAATCAAAGAAAAATTACTTCCAAAATCTAAAATTCAACATGGCTGAAATAATGTGGAATTCTAGTATTAACAGGGTTTTAAAATGTGAACTATTAATGGTTTTCAAGAGTCCAAGTGGCACTTGCTTTATTAGAAGCAGATGAAGGCACCGTCCAACATGGAAAAAGAAAAGACAATACAATTTAGATCTTAAATAATAAGGAAACAGAAAGATTTCAAAGAAAAGAAAAGAACAACTAACCTGAATGAGATGCCACTCAAAGTCCATCAGGTTTTTGATGAGGGCGGAAACCTGAACATTGACCGTCACTTTTTCTTTTGAATGGTCTTTCCTGTCTTTCTGGATACCATTTTTCCATGACCGGCTTTTGTGCCCCTTTCTGGGTTAATCCCAATGAAGCGACTAAAAACAAAATCAAAAATGGGAAAATTCCTGAGAATACAAATAGTGTGGCATTCTGAATAGCGCTGGTACAATATATAAATAAAGCTGTTTTTAATTACGTAAAGAGAAATCACCACCTTTGTCAAATGTTAATCATAACTTGCTTTAAAACCATGTCATTGTATTTTGCTCATTGTAAAAAAAATTATAGGAATGGTTTTACCGTTGAATGAACCAAAGTCTTGGCTGCCTCATGTTGATATTGGAGGTTGAAGATGTAGAAGATGGATAACACTGTCCTGTCTGGAATGTTGGCTGGGCCCTCTCAAAGACAATATGGCCTTCAATGCTGACCATGCAGAAAACTGCTTGCCACAGGGACTGTAATAAACCAAGTCCTTAATTGGAAGAACATAAAACAAATCCTCTTATTGATACAGTATGCATTTAAATGATCATCATAATAAAGAGTGTCCACTCTGCCAGGTAAAGTAAAAGCAAGGATCTCAAACTCCTCAATTGTCGTGCAAGTCACATCATTGTTGAAAACTGTAGGCTGGATTAATGTATAGAAGTTATAGAGGAATTCATGGTACTTTGCACTGAAGGTGAAGTGTGCTTTGAAAGTTCATCAAAAGCTACCTTGGATGACCTTGTGATCAGTGATGGTGAAGTGTCTTTGGTACTGCTCTTGTTTTCACCAACATGCAGGAGGAAGGGCTGTCCTGGTTTCACAGCAATGAGGAAGGCTTCAACACTGGCTTGCATCTTTGACATAATGATAAGACGACAAATAATAAAAATTATTCAATATATTTAGCAGCACAGCTACATTCAGATAGCAAACAAAGCCTATGAGAAAGTGCTTCTACAAAGAAGTAGGATCATTAGAATAACCACATACCTGGACATATCTGAAAACATTTTTTGGATTATTCTTGTGGCCTACGAAGCACATGAACCAACAGAAGAATGCCTGGTTTTCTCAGCCTGGAGGAACCACAGGATAAATAGCAGACACATTAGGATAATAAATAAACATTTTAAAGAGAAGTGTGAGCAAAACTAACCAGCCCCACCTGTGTGTATGTCGCCAGCACAGTCATTCAAAATACTTTGTCCACCCGGTTTACCCTGGAAAGCATTTTTCACCACCTACAACATAAAGCTTAAAAATATCAGAAATAATTACCATGAACACAACTCAGACATTAGGCATTATAGAAATTAGTCAGCTTATAGAAACATTCTGGACAGCAATTCTTCTACCAACCTCTCAGAAGAAATGTGTTGAAGTCATCATAACAGGCTTCAGTCACCAACATGAGGTTTTAATGAAGAAAAAAAGAGTCAGCCAATATGTCATTATTTATGATCATTATTATTTATAGAGACAAAAACATTTTGGCTTAGCTTTGATCGCATAGATCAAACCACCGGTCCAGCACAGCCACTCTCCCCATTATGCCGTCTATAGCCGAAAACTTCAAGAAAATGACTCCGCAGATAATGTTAACTCAAACGGCCTTTCTGACAGTTTTAATGTTCGTTTAACCACCCGACACCCCGTGCTACACCTGCATGGCTAGCTTTCGCTGCTAACATAAATAATAAACCAAGGGTGCTCACGTCCAGTCCTCGAGAGCTACCGTCCTGCATCTTTTCGATGCATCTTTACTCCAACAGACCAGGATCAGCTCTGAACAGACCTGCTAACCACCCATTCATTTGATTCAGGTGTGTTAAATGGCGCAGGGAAGCATCTGAAAGTTGCAGGATAGCAGCTGTCAAGGACTGGACTTGAGCTCCCTGTACTGAACAGTCGTACCGCGATATCCAAACAAATAAACCTACGTTAAGCGTAAGTTGATACTCTTGTGCAAACAGAAAGTTAAAGCATTCATAAAAAATAATCAAAATCAAAAACATGATGGTCTTAACATGGAACTTACCTTGTTTTTTTTGTTTGTTTGTTTTTTAATAGATCTTTATTGAGATACAGAATACATAACAGTATAAACGCAGCATACATTGTGGTATAATGTCCGCCAGGGAGTTACAAACATTGAGACAATACATCACCATTACATTACATAAATACATTAAAGATAGAACATATGTTTTAATAGCTTTGGGGAACTTACCTTGTTATGAGAAGCTCCAGACAAGACGCCATACTGCTGTCTCCCGGGCAAACACGTGACGTCACAGATACGTTGCGATTGTGGGAGCAACTCTTTATCAAACACCATCTCTTTAGGGAAATTGACAAACCCATCTTTAAATTTGACTAAACAAGTGTTTAATTAACATTGTATTTTTAACATACAACGCCAACACTGGTAATTTAACACTTTTGATTATGCTCTGTAGATTTCGATTCATTCCCTAAAAGATTTATTATGGAAAGTATTTTTTTCTTTCCGTTTAATATTGTCTTTAAATGCTGGTTCTCTAAGATGCAAATACAAGTAAAATGTCTTTCCAAGGAAAAAAACTGTATTGTACAATTATTTTACGGTAGTTTACTGCCAGTCGTCAGTCTTGATTGTGACAACAGAAGAAGACATCAAATTGACAATATCCTACCGTATTTTGGAATAACAGTATGTTACTGCTGGAATTCCACCGTAAATGTACAGCCATTCTAAGAGTGTAGTAATGGCGTCTGCAGGAGCGTTGCTAGCAAACCAGTAATGTATATCAATGAAAAAATCCTAGAACCGCTCAAATCTGATACCGCTCCATTTTTGTTTGCATTTTAAGAAGGAAGTTGCGCCGGTCTTCTTCAGAGGGTTTGTGTCATTTTCTTCAGGTAGTTTTTTGTGCAACGCCACCACACGTGACGGGGGGGGGGGGGGGGGCAAGGGTTTTAATTTATTTTGGTTTTTTTGATATTGTGGGGTGTAAAACAACAGGTGGAAAAAAGAAAA